ATCTCCTGGAATTCAAAGCAAACGCTGGAGTGAATTCTCCTCCTCATCGAGACGGAAGCCCACCACCTTTCCCTCTTTCCTTCCCTTTCTTGTTTTTCAGAACTGAGCTGCTTTATTTGGTACGGAAGCTGGTTTTATTCTGGTGACATTTCGCAGCACGTGGAACTCTTTGCTTCATCTCAGGGTGACGTGAAAAGCCTGATTTTTATGCAATGTTGTGAGCGCCTTTTGCTAACACAATAGCAGGTTCTTTGACAATGTCATATGTCTATTCAAAACAACCTGCATGTCACTCACAGGCCTACACATATTTGCACAGCACCTTGTTCTCTCTAGCGATAAGCCATGTTAGGATTTTTTTAAAAAATGTTTTTCCTTTTTCCACCAACCCTCTCCCCCCCCCACCCCTTTCTTTTTACGGGAGAAATAATTCTGCTCTTTTTAAAGTGTCTGGTTTCCTTGATTACTTTCTCCTCTTTCTTCTCCCCAAACAATAGGACCTGTCCTCTCTTTGATTTGTTATGTGATCTTATGTATAAGAGCGTTTCTGTGCAGAAAGGGAAGAGAGGCCAAGCAGTGCAAGGCCAAGAGGAGATGGATGTTTGGAGCAAGTAGATACAGAAATGCTTGTCTCCCTATTTTCCTGATTATAGAAGCCAGAGGGGTCATTCACTGGAGCTGAATGGTGGAAATTCAGGACAGACAAGAGGAAGCATCTCTTCATATGGTGGCACACCATTAAACTGTGGGATATACTGCCACAGGGTGCATCTTGGATGGCTTTAAAAAGGGACTGAGTGCAGCCATGGAAGCAAGGGTCAAAAATGGCTGCTAGCCAAAATGGCTGCGTCTCCAGCATCTCCAGCACCAGAAGTGGTGTCCAAAACTTACATTGGTGTTGTGTAGCATGCATCTCTGCATGCAGAGTTACGTACTAATTCTGCTAGGCAATGTGAGTGATGAATGGCAACATTGGCCAAGTGAACCAAGGCACCAGGTGTGCAGCCAAATGCATAACCACATCCATGCACAAACCAATGCACAACGTCCACCTTGCACAATATAACCTCATGCACAACTCTACCCCTGCAGCCTTGAACTAAATACAGCTGTCTTGCATTGGATACCCAAAAATGCCTTATGGCTTCCAACAGAGGAAGTTACACATCTGTAAGACATCAATGGAATTCCAGCCAGTATGTCTTTCCATACCAATTGCCAGGGAGAGAATGAGATGGAGCTTACAGATACATTCAGGTCCTGCTCATGGGCTTCCCATGTTCAACTACCAGGCAACTGGATGAAGAGAATGCTGGGCTTTGTTTGGTCCAGGAAGGCTGACCATATTTTCATGGGATATTGGAAGACATGAGTTACAATGTCCAGACAATGTGAACTGTGAGGCAGCCTCTTCTCTCTTCCTTGAAGGATGACAGTATGGACCTCAAGATGAAACCCTTGGCTTTCTTGGCCAGCATTCTTCACATTCATCCATGACTAGCCTTCTCCATTATTTTATCACCCCTCCTTTTGTTCTCATTCTCACTTTTAAGAGCCAAAATGTAAGGACCTTCTTTTTTTTGCTTGTATCACTCTGCAAAGTCATGTCCATGGACATGAATGGACTGATGCTGCCGGTGATATTTAAATATGCAACCTTGAATCGAATACAGCCATCAGTGAAGAGTCCTTCTCTGTTACCGCTTTATGCATACTTATTGCTTGGTTTCTTCTCTCTTGTTAGGGGCTAAGATGTTTTGAATTGCCTTCTTGTGGGGCTGCTGAGAGCATGTGACTTGCCCAAGGTCACCCAATGGATTTCTCTAGCTGAGTTTCAGGATTTGAACCCTGGCCTCCTGGAGTCCTACTCCAACATTGAAACCACTACGCCACGTTGGCTCTCATTGGAGTGATATATTTCCCCCTATTATTATTGGCTCCTTCTTGGAAATGGGAGAGCTGCATTAGTGGAAAGTGACACATTGCATTTATTCCAATGTCTGTGCAGAGTCTGATTTTTATGTAGTAAATAACAATGAACCAAATCAAGCAGCACTTTATTTTCTATTAAACTGGGCGCATGCTTGAAGGATTGGATGTAGGAGCTCACATTGGCATTAGCACAGAGTGCACTCCCAGACTGTGAGCAGATGCTAATAAATTACTTAGAGAATTGACAGTTTGGGTTCTTTCGACTTTTAAACGAGTTAAAAAATATGCCATTCTTTCTCTCTATCGTCTTTTCATTTGGGCATCGGCCTTTTTTTCTGGGGGGGGGGGGAGATTTCAGCTTGGCACAAGGGCTCAGGTGTAAATGAAGGCAGATTCACACACCCAACCCTTAAATCTTCTCAGCGCTTCAAGTACCAACCGATGTCTAAGTGGGGGGAAAATTGCAGGTTTTATCCAGGGGAAAAGGCCTGATGTGAAAGAAAGGAGTTGTGAGAAGGAAGAAATTCTCCAGTGAAGCAACGGAGGAGGAAGTCATTAAAAAGATGTTAAATGAGGAGCAAAGGAAAATGGTCAGAATGACAGAAGAAATCCCCCTGTCTGTCCCCCTTCTTCCCACTGGCAAGGATCCAGATTGCATTTCCAGGTAATAGACGGATGCAAAAAGAAGGGGAAAATAAACCCCCAAACAACCCACAATGCTAAATGGAAATGTTTTAACTTTGTGCTTCTGCTATAACCTAGCCAAGCCTGGAAAACACCAGGGGAGGAAAGCTACCGTTTTGTTCCTTTCTCTTCATTGTGACACATTTATTGCCAGCAAAGAATTGCTCAAACAAAAGACACTGTCAGCTACTTATTTTATTTTACTTTTTCTGAAAAGAGAAAAAGGAGAGAGGGGAAGAAAAAGCAAGCTAGGAGCACTCTCTCGCCCTTTTCCAGAGTCCCTCTGAGGTTTCGAAATCAAACAGCTGTCTCTTCTCCTACTTAGCAAATTAGCATTGTTCTAACAGCCTTCGGGAAGGGTTGCCAACATCTGCCCCAGAAATGCCACCTCTTTCTTTTGGCGCTTTGGGGCCGGCTGGCACCCACCGCAGGACATCTGCCTGTCCCCAAACTCTGAAAGAAGTCAGGGCCATCTCTGGGTCAGGAAAAGGCCACCTCTTTGCATTGTCCTGGCCTTCCAAGCCGGCAGCAGCATCCTTTCTTTGCAATCCACTCCAGCGAGGATGCAATTGATCTAGCTAGCTCTTTCAATGGCCGTGCAGGAAAGCTGCAAGGACTTGACAAATAAAAAGCATGGAATATGCGCAGTGAGGGATCTCGGCTGTTTGTGGCACGCCATCAACACTGGTGGGAGGTGTTGGGAATCAAAACTTACCCATGGCTGTCAGACCTTGTTTGGGGGAAATATCAAAACATCATCATCAGCCGCAACAGCAACAATCAAAAATAGCAAGGCTAAAACTGTTAGGGATGAACTTTCTTTAGCAGAGTAGAAGAAACAAAAATGGGCCCCAATCTGAGTGTTGCTTCCACTGAGAACTCCGAATAAACAAGGCAAGCAGTTCCAGGCTACAAATTTTGTGAAGTTGGCTAATGGCTTTCCATTTATATATACTTGGGGAAGACTATATCCTAACTAGCTAATGAATAGATCAGGTAAATGAAAAAGCTTGAGTCTTTAACTCACCATAAAAAAAAAAGAGAGAAGAAGGGAGATGAAGGCTGCATCTGCACTGCAGAAATAAGCCGGTCTGATGCCACTTTAATTGCCATGGTGCAATGGTGTGGAATTCTGGGAATTGTCATTTGTTGTGGCACCAGAGCTCTCTGAAAGGGAATGCCTCAGAAATCCTAATCTTGGAGAAATTTATCCATTTGTTCTAGGCTGACCAGTTTCACCTGAAGGGAAAATATTCCTGGATGTCACATCGCTGCTTTCCTTTGTCCATTTTCCTTCTTCACAAGAAGTCAATGGATGAGACAACAAGGAAAGCTGTAGCCTGAAAACCACTCCAAGCCCTCCTTGTCTTGGAGGCATGTTGAGGCGAGGTGTTCATTTTGCCAAGCCCCTTTTCACATATGCAGATAAAGCCATGCATGTATAATATATATAGTTATATATCTATATAACTATATATATATCTAAGAGAGAGAAAGATTGGCCTTCTCCATGACATTGCAGAACCTCCTTGGTGTCAGGATGAATGTCCAGGGCAGCTGAGAGCGTGTCTCTTTCTCGTGCTCCCCTTACAAAGGTCAGGATCCGTGTAACACCTCATTAAATTGCTCAAACACCGAGTTGTGTCTTGAACCAGGGACCCTTTCATGTCATCCTCACCTTCTTGAAGAGCGGAGCATTAGCATAGCTGTCAAAGCTCTCCTCCGTTCTCCTCCAAAGCCAGCCAGGCTTCAAGGGCTTCCTTGAAAGAAGAGAAAGAGAGAGGAGCGAAGGCAAGTCCCCCCCCCCGCATTGACAAAACCACAAAGCGATGCCAATTAGGAAGGGAAAGTGGCCAAGAGGAGGGAGGCACACAGCGGTTCAGGCAGCAGAGCTACAAGGCCCATTTGAGGTCCACGAAAATTGAGTTGGTTGGGATGCTGGAGACGAGAAGAGCCACCTGCGTCTGCAGTCGGTCAGTTGTGCCAAAGTCCATCACTTGCATCCTCTCATTTGGAGAGTGCAGCACCCACGGATCAGCCACTGGGACGGACAAAATGCCATCTTTAAAGGCCCATAAAGATGAACGTTGTTGCTGCTTGATCTCGTTGGGACTAACCGATAGGGTTCAGATTTAACAATTAGTAAAGGCTTAATTTCCATTCCTCCTCCTCCTCCGTTTCAGTTTCACAGAGTGCATTTACACTGTAGAAATGATGCAGTTTGATACCACTTTAACTGTCATGGATCCATCCTACAAGATCTTGAGATTTGTATGGACCACTTTGGTAGAGAAGACGGAAAACTTTGCGAAACTACAAAGCCCAGGATTCCACAGATGGTGCTAAACTGCATTATCTCTACAGTGTAGATGCATCAATAGAGAGCCAGCATGGTGCAGTGGTTGGAGTTTTGGATTACAACTCTAGAGACCAGGGTTCGATTCCTTGCTTGGCCATGAAACCCCCTTTGTGACCTTGGGCAAGTCACACATTCTCAGCCTTAATAAACATCTAATAAACAAAATAAATGTTTTCTGTGCACAGAGCAATTTTCTGAAAATGCTGCTTTTTAAAGCAAAGAATGCTGTTTTCTCTGCAAAAATACCAGTATAGTATTTTTCTTCACAGGAGACAGCATTGTGTGCAGAAAATAACATTTCAGTGCAGAAAGATTGTTTTCTGCATAGAAAATGCTGTTTCTTGCACAGACCTTTTTGAATACACCAAGTGCAAATTTTGAGCAGCGCAAATAGCAAACCACAAACAGTCTTCAAAACCTGAACGGTTTTTGGAGACTTTTCTGGCAGCCGAAAGAAAACTGTTAAAATTACTCATTGCTTCTTTTGAGAATGAAATTGGTGAATAATTACCTCCCTGAGGCCTTCTTCGGAAAGCTATGTAACATCATAAAATGACAACATGTAAATGTATAATATCACATTGCATAAAATCATTACTGCGTTTCTGATGTTTGTTTCCAAGTAAAGCAATAGGCAATATAAAAATACATCTCTGGAGATGTCTCTCGCGTTTCTTCTGTGGATTCCACTGGATGCAAACCAGATTCTCGCTCCTAAACTCCAGTCCATTCTCTTTCTTGCTTTATTGAAATAGATCTTCAGCCTTTAACAGTTGTAGTAGAGGATGTGCAATTGGAACAAGTACTTTATGCATGAAATTAATGTCTTAAAAGGAAATGTTTTATTTGGATTAATACTTAAAAAAAACCATTTTGTACCAAATTTTGTTTTATCTACAGCCAATGTGTTGGAGTGGTTTGAATGTTGGACTATGACTCTGGAGATGAGGGTTTGATTCCCTGCTTGGCCATGGAAACCTATTGGGTGACTTTAGGCAAGTCACACTCTCTCAGCCTTAGAACAAAGCTATGGCAACCCTCCTTTAAACAAATCTTGCCAAGAAAATCCCATGACAGGTTTGCCTTAGGGTTGCCATATTTTGGAAATTACATACAAAAAAACCCATCACCACATATTATTTTAGCTATAGCCAAGATGGTCTACTGCAACTCTGGAGACCAGGATTCAAATCCCTACTCAGCCCTGGAATCCCAGTGGAAGACCTTGGGCAAGTCACACTCTCTCAGCCTCAGATCAAGGCCATGGCAACGCACCTCTGACCAAATCTTACCCAGAAAACCCAATGACAGATTCACCTTAAGGTGCAGACATAATCCGGTTTGACACCACTTTAACTGCCATGACTCCATGCTAAGGGATTCTGGGATTTGTAGTTCTGTGAGACATTCAGCCCTTCTATGTCAGAGAGCTCTGATGCCACAACAAACTACAAATCCCAGATTTCCATAGCATGCAGCCAGGGCAGCTAAAGTGGTGTCAAACTGGATTATTTCTGCAGTGCGGACGCAGCCAAAGTGTCATAAATGACTTGAAGGTGCACAACAGCCACCGTTCTCAGCCTCAGGTGGACCTTTGCAAGGCAGCCAATGTTTTCTTCTTCTTCACTTTCTTTCTAGCTGGCCACCCTTGAAAGAATTATAGTCAAGTTGTTTATATTAGAATTACTAGAATTATAGTCACAAGACGAGAGAGAAGAAGAAAAAGGAAAGGAAGAGAAAAGAATGCAAGAACCGTTCTAACTCAGCGTCTTCCCATCAATAAATTACTTGAGATGAGACTCCACCGTATGCTTGACAGGAGAATCCTAGACATTTTTCAGACTTGAAGAAATACTTTAATTAGTTCCAGCTAATAAAGTCCTCGGCTAATTAAAAGAACAGTTGTCCTCCCTGGATACATACATACATATATATATATATATATATATATATATATATATATACACACACACACACACACACACACCTCTTCCTTGCAACAATTAAAAAGGAAAATAATTAGACGATGGACTCCAATAGTTATTGGTGGTAGGTTTTGAAGGGGGAAAGAAAAATAACCCATGATGCATCTGCATTGCAGAAATAATCCAGCTTGACACCGCTTTAACTGCCATGGCTCCATGTTCCAAAACACACTGCAGAAATAAACCAGTCTGAGACCACTTTAACTGCCCTGACTCAGTGCTAGGGAATGCTGGGAATCGTAGTTTATTGTGGCACCAGAGCTCTCAGTCAGAGAAGGCTCAATGTCTCACAAAACTGCAGTTCCCAGAATTCCCTAGCATTGAGCCAGGGCAGTTAAAGCGGTCTCAAACTGGATTAATTCTGCAGTGCGGATGCAGCTCATGCAATGGACAAGTCCCCAAACATAACATTGGCTGTTGCTCAGTTTCCTCCAGAGGCAAAGAGGATTAGAGCTCTCTGTGTGTTTTAGACAAAGCTGATAGCAATCATTTTATTGTTTTTACTGTACTATTTATTCCTTTGGGATGCTGTTTTTAATTTTACTTTTGAGTTTTCTCTTGGATATATTGGATCTGTTGATCGTAATGAATGAACGGATGGATGGATGCTGATGCTGAATCCTGGGATTTGTAGCTTTGTGGCAGAGAAGGCTAAAATATCTCACAAAACCAACCATTCCAAGAATTGCATAGCATGGAGCCATGGCAGTCACAGTGGTGTCAAACCGGATTATTTCTGTGGTGCGGATGCAGCCCCGGTCATAAAGCCTGCGCAGAATTCATTGCAACCATTAAAGAAGGATGAAAGAAGTTTCCAAAACCTTTTGATCTCTTGCTCTAAGCGTAGCGAGAGCGAGAGCTTCTCTTCCTTCCCAAGGGAGGACCTGAAGCTCTTTCTCCCCGTCGGAGGCACAAGAGGGGCCCTTTGGGATTCTCCATCTTGTGTCTCTTCGCCTGAGCATCATTTCCCCTTTCGCTCTCTTTTTCTTTGGCACAGCTGCCAAGCAGAGAGAGCCAGGCTTCGCTTCCAGCTCAGAGGCCTGCCACTCAGCCAGAAATCAGAATTTAAAATCTGCCCCTTTCCTTTTCTCACAGACTTTCTGCAATGGGCAATCTCAGAGGCAGACTGGTTTTTGCAAGGGGTGAGGAGCTTGCTACACAACCAGCAAGGAAAACAAGGGCTTTGGCTTTGCCAGAAATTGGGCCTGGTTTCATTAGGGGTGGTGGGATGGTGGTGGTTCCTGCAAGAAACTTTGTTTGGAGCTCACTTATATTTGTAGGGCCATTTGGGGTTTTGAGCAGCAGAAATGTGCCTTTGTCTAACTGCGCTTCCCTAAAAACTGAGACTGACTCCAAAAACAACATAAGCAGCTTGTAGTTCAAACAAAAGTTTACTAATGGCTTTAATCTACAGATACATATATTTATAAAGATGTATATATATATATATATATAGATTAGAATACATATATCCTAGGATGTCTATATCCATAAATTATATCCATAGATTAGGATACATATATCATAGGATACATATATCCATATATTTTATGCATACATAGATTAGGATACATATGTCCTAGGATACAAATCCATAGATTATATATCCATAGATTCGGATACATATATCCTAGGATGTCTATATCCATAAATTATATCCATAGATTAGGATACATATATCCTAGGTTGCATATATCCATAGATTAGGATACATATTCCATAGATTATATATCCATAGATTAGGATACATATATCCTAGGATACATATCCATAGATTATATATCCATATATTAGGATACATATATCATAGGATACATATATCCATATCTTTTATATATCCATAGATTCGGATACATATATCCTTGGATACATATATCCATAGATTATATATACATAGATTAGGATACATATATCCAAAGATTTTATATATACATATATCCTAGGATACATATATCCATAGATTATGTATACATAGATTAGGATACATATGTCCTAATCTAGCTAGTGAATAGTTCAGGTTAAGAAGACATATTTATCTCACCATCTTTCCAAAGGAAGTTGATGGGGAAGGAAGATGGAGGACTCAACAGTTCAGGAGAAAAACCATTTAAGAGAGAGCTTCCCAAAAGTGATCTAAATCACACAATTAGTTTGAATGAGGAAAGAGGGAGGGAGGGAGAGACAGAGACAGAGACAGAGTGAGAAATCAGAGTTTGCATGCAGGAAAACCCTGTCTACCTAAGGAGAGAAAAAGAGAATGCAAGATCTTACAACAATATTCCCCATCATCCACAGGAACAATGTTTGGCTTCTAAGGTGACTGTATATATCCCTTAGTGGATGGGGCTTAGAATAGGCTGACTATCGTATCATTGCTAAAGACAGCTTGTGACCCCAAAGTCTGGGGACCCCCAATTGAAACAGCATCAGTTGAGTCTAAGGGTTTCCCTTGGCAGACTCAGCACAGCAGTAACTTAGGCATAAAAATGCTTTTTATCATCACCTTTTCCTTTTTATATACCCATCAAACTTTCATATTTAATCTCCTACATCACAATAGCCAATCATTTTTAACATTTGACATTGATGAAGTGGCTCCTGCTATTATTCTGACATACTATAAAACATTATACTCATTTGCAATAGAAAAAAGAAAGAAAGTGGGGGCCGGGAATCAATACTCTGCCCCATTTTCCACCTTGGCAGTAAATCACGGCGCCTAACAAATTGTTTTAAATACAAGCACCTTCACAACCGATACTGATCCCAACCAATCCCTGTCCATTGTCCCCAAATTCTTTCTTTCCCTGGATAAAAACACCTTTGCTTTCCATCCTTTTGAACTCTTGAGTTTCTGGGACTGCAGTTTTGGAAACTAGGGCTGCTGCCAAAATGTAGAATTAATGCAAGTTTGACACCGCTTTAACTGGTATGGATCTATTTCCTAACTTCTATGAAATCCTTGTGGTTTCTTGTGGCACCAGAGCTCTCTGCAAGAGAAGGTTAAATATATCACAAAACTGCAAATACTGGGATTTGTAGTTTCTTGTTGCACCAGAGCTCTCTGCAAGAGAAGGCTAAATATATCACAAATTTGCAAATCCCAGGATT